GTTCAGTAGATTGTCTGACATCTGTTGGAAACAGCAAGCTCCCTCCATACAGAGCCCCTGTGCGGTATCAGGCTTGTTGTTCACTTCTGTACCTGGTCATCATCACTGGCTTCTATGCATGACCACTCTTCCCCCCAGGCTTTCACATCTCGGCTATGTCTAGGTCTTGATGCCGTGGTCTATGTACTATCTCCAAAGGGTTTGAAAAGGAAGGTAATGTAACGTGTACTCTGTCCAGCCTCTTCTGACTTTTATGTTGTTATCTTTTTGCTGAAGTCTCATTTCTGAGAGATTGCTCTAAAGTGCAGTATTGCCTTGCTTGTACCCAGAATCTGTGTGGGCAATCTTGCTAGTCTGTTACTTGGACCCTTCTCTTTGTTTCCTTCCACTGTTACTGATCTCTTTGCGTCTTCCATAAAATGCGATCAACGCTTAAGGAGTTCTGTAGATGGTGCCTGTTGATTATCTCTTGGGTGTTATCAGCAAGAGTGTTGTCTGCTTCTTTTAGCAAAAGTTGGAATTAGCCAAAGCTAATTGTTAGATAAGTACCTGCAAATGAACACACTTGCTTTCACCGCTATTGCCTTTCACTCTTATCTAGTTTGTTATTGTAATGCTTTCTGCAAAACCATGTCTTTTTGTATACTTATGAAAAGCCTGACAGGTATCCATCCATCTTCTGGTGTGTAGAGTTTCAGTGCAATAGGATTTGTTTGGTTCTTTTGTACTCCTGTCTGGCTTTATGTCCTTCATTTCTTATGCATCTTACTCGCTGCTCACATTCACAGAACTTACCCAGCAGCCCTTGTGCTGGCTCCTGGGCTGTGCTGGAGCTGCCTCTGTAGACCTGTCAAGTAAAGTTGTGGTTGAACCTGGCGACAAAATTGCGTGTCAATTAAAAGTAGAATGGAAGGGGTTGGGAGAGGGGAAGGATACAAAGGAAAGCTGAACAATTGAATAAGAAAATAAATTCTGAAAAATGAGCATTCAAATGATATAGTAAAGTTATTTGTGCATTGAATATAAAACATACACCTCATTTAAAAATAGAAAGGAATTTGTGCCTTATGTACAGTCACTCAAGAAAATAGAAGCATTGGTCTCTGTGCTCATCTGAGAGTGAAAAGAGAGGGGGTTTTTGCTTTTTTTTTAATTCTAGGGAGGTTGTCAATGCATTTTACATGTAAAGAACTTTAAACTGACAGCTGTTGTTGCAGCCGTCATTTCAGGTCTTATCAATGGACTATGAAGAAGGAATAGATTTCTTGAAATATCAAAAGTGATTGATATGTGCTATGTTGAGTTCAGTATATATTTAATTATTCCTGTGAGAGGAGGTACTCAGATTCTGGGTTATCCCCCTGCCTTGATCTATCACTCCTCAGTGGTGGTCGTAAAGAGGTGACTAGAGCACAGAGAGTAGCACTTGCAAGCCTGGGCAGGCTGCTTTGTTTGTAGCTGCCTGGCGGTGGAAAAAGTGGTGGTGTGAAGCTGGATGGCAGTGGGTAGCTTGTCTCCCTCCTCTCAGGGCAGGAAAGTACAGGCTGAGGGAAGAAACCAAAGCTGCAGAGAGACTTCTGAGTGTATGTATAAGGTACAGGGGTAGGAAACAAAATGACCAGAAGAAAGAAAAGATTATCATTAACCACACAATTTTCTTCTAATTGTTATAATTAGTAATACCTTTGGGAATCTTGTCAATGTTCTCTAATGTGATTGCAAGAAAAACTCTTCTGTTTGTTCCAACCAGAAGAAATAATAAATGTAGTAAGCATTGTCTGTATTAAAATCTAAAAATGGTTTGTAGCTAAAATTCTTTCTTAAGTAATATAGTTTTTAACCTTTTCCATCCCCTGTGTGTGAGCATGTGTCTCAACTCTAACAGATCCCTGGAAATCACTGTCAAATATTTGAAATGACTGCTTGACTCGGTAAATGTAAAAATATCATTAGTAGCATTTTTCTGTTCTTCTGCAAAAGCTGCAGGAGCTCCTTGGTAGGTTTTACCACACTTTTTGGAAGCACTCTGTATCACAGCAGCTGAAAACATCAATGATTTTTGTCTTCCCACATAATTTCTTAGTCTGTTATATCTGTCCTTGAAGCGCTGTTTCCCAAAATACAGTTTGTGATTCACTGTGGAAAACCCCTTTTCTTAAGGGTTTGTCTAAGCATTGTAAATATTGGAAATCTTTACTGCAAGGAAGTCTAATATTATTATACTAGGAAAACCTGGGATTCAATTAGCAAAAATGGTTAAAATATGCAGTTGTGTATTCTTCTATAATGGCCATCAATTTTTTTATTTTTTTTTTTGGCTCTGCCAACAAAGTACAGATGAAAAGGATAACCTGAGTTAGGGGAAGGAGAATAAAGTTCTATGCACTTCAGTTTAGCATTGGCAACAAATGCTGTTTACAAACTGAAATGGATTGTATATATCCAGACTGGCCAAAGCAGTCAGCTCAAACGTAGAAAGGAGGGATCGTGCTTAAATGACTTAATCTGATTTGTTAGCCTTTGTAGAC